GGCTATTGTTTACTTAATTATATCAGCAAGAACAGATAACTAATGTTAACTATAAGTGATAACACATTTATGTGTAGAATCCGTATTCTTTATTCAAAATCCCACAATAGTCTCTTTATATTAACTCCCCGAGGAGCCTGTAACCATTCTGAGTTTCGATAACGCCCTCTCTACCCCTTGATTGGAGTATTGTTTACCACTTCGTCATAAGCCATAACTGACCTCAGATCTGCATATCTCCCCGAGGAGCCTGTAACCATTCTGAGATTCGATAACGCGGCTTTGGTAAGTCCCTCAGTTTTCGTAAATAATTTCAGGGCTCTATCCTTTATGTATTTTTTGATCAAATCAATCTTGAGGTCCCCGAATGAATGTAATCCATAATAAAACATTAAGCTTTTATGAAATAAGGAAAACGTAGGAATCATATCTCAAATAAAAATCAAAATTCTTAAAAAATTAAAAATAAATTTCTTGACAAAACTGCAGTTATATTAAAAAAGTCAAAACAAAATTTTTAGTTTTGGAAGTTCATATAGAATCTTTAAGTTAATTACTTACAATGGTTAATAACGCGCAATGTGAGTTGATCCTCACAGAATGGGCCCGAATCTTCAAAAATGCAAATGATGAACTGGGAAAAGGATTAAGTGATGTAGAAATAAAGTTAATGGTTATGCAGTACACGGATCTATTAGTAAAAATTTCAAGTATTTTACTCAATATAGTAACTTGTTTAGATTTTGCCGACCGTTTGATTTGGACAAGAAAAAATTTGATCACAGAATTTATTAAAGCATCATTGCCCGAGGATGAGTTCAAAACTATGCTGCCCGTAATAAAAATCATAAATGATTTTATAATGCCAACACAAATGATACGTTATTGCCGCTTTGAGGGCAAAAGACGTCGTTAAACTGAAGTGATAATTAATTTAACCAAAAAGAAAAGCAACACAATTTATTTTTATTGTTTTTGTTATTATTTTTATTTAAACAGTTTTGTCTTAAATAATTTAAAGAAACATTCAACACTAATCAACTGTATTCAACTATTTCACCACACCTGATAAGTGCTACCAACTTACAGATATTTACAAAAGAAACGTCAAAACAACTCTGACACTTCGTGGGTATTTTCTATTAGGCAAATTATATAAAAGGTTTGTGGAGATTTTTATTAAAAAAATAGTGATTTAATTGTTTTGTTTTATTTAATAATAGTAAATAATTACCCGCTTCAGTGCTTGTAATAAATATAGAAATTATTTGTTTGAAAATACTCTTTTTCTTTACAGCAAAATGCTGCGTTCAGCTACCGCACTGGTAAGCAAAGCGCCTAAGCTTATGGCCACTGGCACATACGGAAACCTTGCTGGGTCAGGTGCTTTCGGTCCGGCTCTTAACACAATATTAAAAAGAGAACAGCAGACAATGCCTGTCGTAGAACCCGGAACAACATTGCCGAAAAAAGGCTATTCACCATTCGGCACTAAACAGCCAAACTTAATGGAATGGTCAGTTGCACGTTTGGATGATTTGCTTAATTGGGGTCGCAAAAGTTCTATTTGGCCTATGACTTTTGGTCTAGCATGTTGTGCTGTAGAGATGATGCATATAGCTGCACCGCGGTATGATATGGACAGATATGGCGTTGTTTTCCGTGCATCTCCACGTCAGGCTGATGTTATTATTGTAGCTGGAACCCTCACCAATAAAATGGCACCTGCTTTGCGCAAAGTCTACGATCAAATGCCCGAACCACGTTGGGTAATTTCAATGGGCAGTTGTGCCAATGGTGGTGGTTACTATCATTACTCTTATTCGGTCGTTCGAGGCTGTGATCGTATAATACCCGTTGATATCTATGTGCCAGGTTGCCCACCAACTGCAGAGGCGCTTATGTACGGTGTACTACAATTACAGAAGAAAGTTAAGCGTACGAGGACATTGCAGATGTGGTACAGGAAGTAAAATATATTTAATTAAAGTGAATAGTTTGTGAATAGACTAGAAGAAATTAGAAGAAAATGTGGTAGAAGATTTATAACTAATAGGTATAAAGCCTAACTCAACCAATTTGTGACGTTGAATGTTTATTTTTTTTTTTTTTTGCGATAACTTAATAAAAGAAAATATTGTGCAAATTCATGTTTTTAAATTGAAGATTTATTTAAATTTCAAATCGGCTACTAAAGCAATGTGATCGGATGGGAAAACTACAGACGGGATGGCAATATGTGCTTTCAGTTCCTCCTCCGTTGGCAGCATTACAACCTACGAATAAACAGAATATTGATTTATAAAATGTTCTGAAAGAAATGAAAGGAATTTATGACGTACTTGCTGCACTTCCAAGCGATCACATTGATAGAATATATAATCCAAGCAGGCAGCGAAAAGGTGTGTGTAATTCGTATAAGCTGGCGTACCACAAGCTGATTCCATATGGAAAGGTTGTGACAATGACACGTTTGAAACAGCTTCCTCCTCATCTGAAAGGTAACATTTGCTTTATATATGTACAGTTTATAAAAATTTAATTAATATGCTTACTACTTCGCCAATCTATAAAGTCTTTGTCCACAAACTTTTCGGTCATCAATTTATAAATGCCGCACTCAGGTACACTATTAAAATCACCACAGAAGATGATGGCGAGATTTTTGCTATCTGGTTGCATATTGAATTCAGCTAATGTTTGCTTGTACATATGTTCCACATAAAGCATAGAAAAACCTATTTGTAGTAAACGAATGTGATCGGCGTCGGGATGAAAATACAGATGAGTGTTAGCTACCAGCAAAAGTTTCTCGTTCTCCTTGCATTTCAATACGGTAAGCTAAAGATAGTGAAAGAAATCAATTTTTATAGATAAAAGTAAGCAACTGAATTATTATAAAAAAGTAAATGATGATAATAGTTCTGTTCATTATGGACTTGCAGTCTCAAAAAATTATTTACGAATAATTAAATACAAGAATTATTTCCAAGACCACTGATGTTGTGTATTTGGCAATACTCGAAACAGCTGTATGGTCAGCTAAAAATTCAATTAATTAAAATATAAAATGATTTTTTGTTGTTCTAGTCACTACTGTTCTAAAAACCTCATTATGAAATATTCTAGTTTCTTTTAAATATAATAGTTCCGTCTGAAAAATTTGACGTTAAATTACAACTTATATTCACAGAAAATTGCTATAGTAATCTCAAGATGAGAGTTTTTATAATAGCTTAGGTTAGGTAATACCGTCCTACTTAGGGATACACTTAAGTCTATAAGCCCTTTGTGTTACCATAAAATAACTCTAAAGATTTAAAAACAAAATTCGCAGTTTTCCAAAATTCCACACAATCCTCTTACTTCGTCCCATCTCAGTATCACTTCACAACCTACGTATTCTTCTTTTGTTCTATTATATTTTACATTCTACAAGTTCTTCAGGTTACAACTACAGCAACATTCCATTGAATCCATTAATGCACGTTTTCATATCATGAATATATCAATAACGTCACTGCTACGAATCACTGCTAGCGCACAGCGTTAGTAATTCAGTTCTCGAAAAAGATCCGACTATAATTTTTCTAGACGCAATAGTACTGACATGCTAACCAACACCGCGCTATCGAATATCAGAATGGTTGCAGGCTCCTCGGGGAGGCATGCAGATCTGAGGTCAGTTATTGCTTAGTCTGACGAAGTGGTAAACAATAATTCAGTCAAGGCATAGAGAGGGTTTATGAAGAAATCTCGTAGTTAATAGATAGTAGAATAGAGCCTCAACATAATAGTACTGATTGAAATAACAAAAAAATTTCTCTCTTCCTACTTAGCTCAAGGTATAGATTCATATAAAATAGTTATTTATTTATAGTTTCATAAGGAATGAATTTACTAACCTGCAGTGTTGTCGCACGATCACAGATTCTTTCCACTAACTTTTGATTATCACTTATTTTATGCCAAAGTTTCTCAAAAATCGATAATGTACGAATATTCTCGCCTAAATTAACGTCGTACGTTTTTAATAACTCGTATCTATCATTTCTATAAAATGTAGCAACACCTTCACCACTGCTTCCCTTCTCTGCCATTATACCATCATAATTATGTTCAGGCAATTCCAAAATGGGTTTTAAATCCAAATCGAAAATTTTCGTATCGACTTCTTGTAGGCATATTATATCCGCATTATATCCTAATATTTCCTTCAGAAACAATTGCTTACGATATTCTATTTTAAGTGCATACGGTGGACAATAAGGAAAGAGTTGTGTGCGTGAATAGTCACTGTCAGCGTAAAGATCAGCCAGTAAATTATATGAGACTACACGCAGTGCATTGCCAGCTAAACGTTCCGTTGTTAAACAGTGACGCATTTCAAATTGGCACTGACCTGGCCCAGCTTCAACTGGATTTTTGGTTATATTTTCTACAGGTGGTCCGTGTACACCTTTTCTATTGGCGGGTGTTAAAATAAATTTCAGAAGAAAACCAATATCTTCATTTTTGGTTTTATAATAGAGACCACTTCCACAAAGTTCCCACTCGGCTCGTTGTAGATCTTTCGAAACTGGCTAAAATTACAGCATGTGAGTATTTTGATTTAAAATATATAAATTAGTAAGTCTTATTTATTTAAGTTAAACAGTGAAAACTCTATTGAACGCTTGCTCTCATAAACGGACATAATTCTTAACCGTGCAATATTGCTAGTACCATAAATGATTTACATAAGAGCGATTTCACTGTACGCATAAATGTATGTATAAAAGATCATTATTTACAAATTGATGCTGTATTGGACTAGTTCAACATCATTCTGAGCTTTGAATATCGTACCATTTTTGCTTTGAACCATTCGCCTCTACTGTATTCCTTCTCAGCAAATTGAATTTCAAGTTTTGTTGGATAAACTAGATATCCCGCAAGTACCGTTGTTGGTAACACCAAATTAATTATCCAAGGCTGATTGACAACAATCTGGAAAGTTTTATCTATTACTCTCATATGCAAATCTCCAGGAGTGTTTTGAAGCATTTCAGCAAACGTTACATCAGTTATCTTGCTCTGTGTGCCAGAATATATGAACTCCAATGAAATCTAAATATAAAAAATTTACTGAAATTCAATTACTATAGAAACCTATTAGCATCTTACCTCACTCATATTCACATCAGCAACTGGTTCCTGCACTTCAGCTGGAGTTTTCTTTTTACTCTTCTTCGAACGTTTATTCAATTCATTTTCAATTTTGGTGCGTATACGTGTTAACGCTGTTTCAACTTTTTCATTCATTTTACGGACGAAATTGAAATCTTTATTGATTCGAAGTTCCTCATTTTCGTAGTGGAAGCTTATATGCAATTCATCGGTTTTATTGGAACTGCGTAAGTAAACTTTTTCCATGGCGTACTTAAGTTTGTGCGAATGTGCAGCAGTCCGTTGAATTTGTTTAATAAATAAGTTTGCTGATGTGTCAGAATTTAACTTAAAACTCGGCTTAAATAATTTGGTTAAGAGCAGTGGACCAACTTTTGACAACATAACAAATAACGAAAGGCGGTAGAAAGCATACCATGTGAATGACATACGAATTGACTATGACAAGCAGCTGATCATTGTGAGCATTAAAATCAGCTGATTGGCACAGCCCTGTGAGAAATTTGCAAAATGATGTTGCGTGTTGTTTTACGATAACTATATATTTATTATTATATTATTTTAATAAATATTTATTTTTAATTTAATGAAATATCAATTCAGTTGTATAAATTTTTACTTGAACTATTATTAATAATATAGTTGTTTATACAACGACAACGAGTTTTAGTACTTTACAACAGTTTATTTACCACAACGGACCATTATTTTAAGCTCAAGTGGGCTTTCTTGGTACACAAACCGCCACTCCAACCTAAACTAAACTAACAACAGTTTATTGTTTTATTTTTATATATAATTTTTCACTTTTTAGTAAGGAAAAGAATTGCAATCCTCAATAAAAGACTTGAATCCTTTCAGGCATGTGAAATGAACAGATTTCAGCCTTTGGACGGAATGGGGTATGTAAGCTCCAAAATATTTTGGTGAAATATGTAGATTTTTTTAAAGTAATATATTTTTATATCAACTTTGAATAAGTTTTTTAAAGAACAATATTCCCTATTTCAGCTAACAAGAAAATAAGAGATATAAAAAAATTGGAAGGATTCGATTTTTTATAATATGTTATTAAACCATTTTAAACTCGGTACAATAGATTTTACGACTTAAATGTTTTTATATGAATTATTTTTTAAAGAATTAATCATTCCTTATTATAGTTAACAGGGGAAAAGTAGATATAAGAAGAAAATATATATATTTGACGATTTTAAACTAGACGTAAAGGATTTTTCTCATGTAAATATATTCAATACCTATCCCAGTTATAAAAGAAAAGAGAGACAGAAAAATCAGAATTTTCAGAATTTCTTTACAATAATATATATCAATAATATATACAGTCAAAATTGTGAACGAATGAGAGTCAACAAAGGTATATTGTTATTGCTACCTAGTAGCAAATAATAATTAGTGATAATTAGTAATTAATTCATAAGTTAACTTGAACAAGAGATTAGTTTGATCACGATTGTAAAGCGCAGTTACTGTAGTTATATGGTCAATCTTATTATTATGCAGATTTGTGGAGTTTTAAATAAATTATATCAGGTGGAAATTTGTAAAGAAAGTATATCAGGTGGGAGATTATAATGCCTGGTAAAATAATTTCAAGCTAGAGATGACCAATTTTTATCTAATAGCTCACTATACGTAAAAGGTGGGAGATCTGTTGGGAAATTACAGATTTAATTGGAAAGGAATTTCTGTAAAGTATCTGAATTAATGTTTCGTAACAAAATAGTCGGATTTCTACTGTAAAAAGACCACTTAAAGACTCGTAGAATGGAGTGGAGAACGTGCGATATAATATTATGTTTCGGAGTGAAGCTTTAAATTATTGGCTTATGACTGAAGATTATTTAAGATTAAGTATTGAAATTTGTGGGAAAGGAATTTAGGTGAAAGTCGCGGTAATGTATATTTCGCAATCATCAGTAAAACAAATTTATTTAATGCAAGAGAAAGGGAAATAAATAAAATCATTAAAAAGAATATAAAAGTTAAATTGGAAGAGAAGTGGACATGAAACTTACCCTGATTATTGATATCCGCTGAAGGATTCATTAAAAATTCTATGAAGTTATATATTATTAATTATAGACTGCGTAAAGATTGTCTGTATGTCTGTTCACGAAGAATAATATTTTACAAAAGAACTGATAGAAAACTCGAAGAGAGTGCCGAAGCTACGTCAGAGTTTAGCGGATTAACGGATTAAAAAAAAACTAAGTAACGTTATCAAAAATTTCATTAAATTTTAGTATTAACAATTCGTTGTTATTATGCCTAAAGATCTCTTCGAATCTTATAGGTGAAGGTAAATTTTATCCTTTCTAATGAAAGTAATTTTTAGAACAAATGTTTTATTTTACTATATATCTACTAAACTGTTACTACTAGACAAGTACTATTAAACTACCAATACACTAGTACTACTAAACTAGTACTCTTAAACTACTACTACTACTAAAGTGTTTCTACTAAGCTACTCCCATTAATCATTGTATTTTTAATGCACTGTGTAACTGTAATTAACGATTAAATCAAATTAACGATTTAATCAAAATAAATTAATTTAATCACTTGGACTAAAACCAATACATTACTTAAATAAATTCAGCAATATGAAGAAAAGTAGTAATTACATTACACTTCTTCTTTAAGATGCTATCCTGCCAAGTATATGAGTCAAAGTAATTATGTCGTGATTTATTTACTAATTTCGAATCATGTCAAATGGTAAAAATAAATTACACAATTCTTTGTGAGGCCTCTGAAAAAATAAATAAACATCTTTAGAGATTTTTTAGCTCCAGTGAATTATTAAACACCAAGCCGTGTTGGAATTCACTTAAATGCGTGGTTCCACAGATCGCAAATCGCAGATTGTAGATCGCAAATAAAAATATCAACAGCAATGGAACACTCCCAAATGCCACAAAGCTACGTGCCAGTGGCTTGTAGGCGTTCTCGCAATGTCTTTATTCATGGAAAATTGCTCATAAAGCCACAAATGCAGATATTAAGAAATTATGAATTGAATTTTTTTACATAAACACTAATAACTCAAAAAACATATTACAAATAAATATAAACAATCAGTTAAAATTAAAAGATTACATTTTATAGATAAAAGTGTAATAGGGTCTTAATCAGAGATTAAGGCACTACGCTTTCACGTATCGATGTCAACACCTGTCGTTCTAATTTTGAAATAATTTGTTTGAAAGATTATTATTATAGTTATTAGGAGAATACTGAGGTAAACAGAGGACTACTTTTTTCTTAAATGCCCCTAACATTAAAAAGGTTCTTTTAATATTCCTTCCCGGATAACTTCATCAACGAGTATTTGTCTGTAATTTTGTTTTTTTCAAGATTATTTTAATATGTTTTAATCTACCTATTTCAGAGTCTTCTTCTAGTTCTTGCATTATAAGCTTTCTGCGATAACATATTTGTAATAACGTACATCGTGTTAGTAGAGTTAATCTATGCCTCTCATGTACTTTGTCTTTACTCAGCTCTTGTACAGTGGCGACTCAACACTTTAAGTGCTCTCTTCCTTGACGATCTTAATCAATTGCAAGACCTCTCACTAAACAGCATTCTAAGCTTTGCCTAAGATTCTAGGTGGTTTTAAGCCCTAAGTTTTTTTCACTATATGGCAACATAATTCTAGGTGGTTTTAAGTCCTAAGTTTTTTTCACTATATGGCAACATAATGGGCCAATAGGCCTGAGTGGATTTACTAGCGATCGTCGGTATAACTTAAATTAAAATGTTAAGGTTAGGCTAATATGAAAAAGTTGAGTTTTAAGCTATATGATACTTAAAAAGGAAAAACAGAGGTTAAGTAATAGGTAGCTCTTTTAATATTACAATATATATTAATAGGTTATAACGAATTATTTAAAAATAAAGTTAGAACATAACTGAGATTTTGTTGGGACTTGTTCCTCCTATTATATTAATCCAATAATCCAAACTAAGTTAATAGAGTTACCACGAGATATTTCAAAATAAAGCTAACATTATATTTAAAAGAACAAAATGAGGTAGGACTAATTAAGTTAGGACTAGTTCTATGTCTTATATAGTAATCTATATCGTGTTAATAGGTCATTTTGGTAATGCGTAAAGTTGCTGGTAGCTGTATTATAAGTATCTAATTATAATAGTAGAACAAGGTTTAATTAAGGTTAGTTCCATTTCCTCTAATAATCCAAGTCGTGTTAATGGATTCATATTTTGTATAATAAAGCTGTATTCTTGATAGCTGTATTCTTGATAGCTATATTATAAATATCTGATTATAATAGCAGAACGAGGTTCAATTGAGGTTAGATTCATTTCCTATAATATTCCAAATCATGTTAATGGGTTACTATTGGGAATTTAGAAGTGAAGGAGGTATTATGCTAATAAAGGAGAAAGAAAAATCTTGTCAAGATTATCTGTTTTTCTATGAAAAATTTAAAAGTTAGGATTTTTATAAAAGGAAAATATATTTATTTACTATAGCTTCTTCTCTAAGGGAAATTTAAAAGTTAAGATGTTTATAAGTGGAAGAAAGTTGTTCAGTTCGGATTAGCTTCTTTTTTATGAAATTTAAAAGTAAAGATATCCATATTGATATGAGTAAAAAATTGAGCTTTAGTTAGAGCTAGTTACTTATTCAGCAATAATGCAAATTGTTTTAATGGATTTCTATGAGAAAGTTGTAAGTAAACCTACTATATCCCTAAGGCTCACTTTTTCCTACTTTTTTTTTATTGACAGTATTAATCATATGGCCATGTTCACGTTCAACTTCTCAGTGACTTCAAACTACTCGTACCTCTTCATTTAATTAACAATAAAATATATATATATATAGGTAATCACTGATTTTTAAGTATTTCTTTCATTTTGTGTAATTACTATTAAAATTATCTGAGGCCACCTGCTTAGTTCAGAGCTCATTTTTTTTTTAATGATCATTTGTTTAGCAAAAGTGATTGATTGAATTGTTAAACACCTACGAAACCAAAAAAAAAAATTAAGTAATTTCTAATGCAAATAATGAATTAAAACAAAAAGAAAAAAAAATAATAATAATATTAAAAAATAAAAAAATCAAAATTATAATTAAATGAATAATTGAAAAATTTTTATTGGAACGCTTTCATTAAGCCGTTATGAGCTCATAAAATTCTTTATTATTTTGAGCTCTGGTCCAAAAGTAGACCAGTGTAGACCAATGTAGACGTTTGTAATGAGTTTCGCTACAAAAATGCAGACAATAAAATGTCGAAAGACAGTTTTATTTCGCTTAAATTCTTATTCGGATTAAAAAACAAAAAACTAAAAAAGCCAAAAAAATAAAATAAAATTAAATTAAATAAAATAAATAAATTTACTGTACATTTAAAAAATTATTAGCAAATAAAGAATAGCAAAGAAAGAAAACAGTTGGTTTGCGAGGGTGTAACAGACATGAAAGCGAGGTGTAAACACAGTTTTTGTATTTAAATGAGTAAAAGATTTGACCCATAAACCTCAAATACAATAATATTCGAATTTAAAGAAAGAAAGTAAAACTCAAGTAAATATTTTTTAGTTTATTGCCAAAAAAAAAAAAATTTAACCAAAAAAAACACAACATAAATGCGAAGTGACTAATTGAGGAAACAAGTGAGGTTTATAGTGTGAAGTACATATCTGAAATATGTTTTGAATGAAACTGCAAAACAACGCAATACCACCAGGGGACGCTTGGGACTTTTTTTAGACTCGGCGCTTGTCTCAGTAGCGTAAAATGCAACAAGCCACGAATGTGAAAAAAACTACTAATAAAAGTCATTGTAATTAAAACGATATTCCCTAGTTTATTGTTGAATTAAACTGGTAATAATGGATTCTCAGTATATTTAAGAATATAACACAAAATGGATGGATTGAAGCACTGTTTGAATATGAAGTATATGAGTCTCATATCCTTCTAAATACAGACTTTTACATTAAACTGACCCCTCTTATCGAAATGGTAATGTTGTTATGAATTTAATTTGGTATTTTTTGTAGAGTCCCTAATATCAGACTTTAACAGAAGTGTCAGAGCTAGTGTCGTCTTCCTTCTTGGAGACAGTATTTTGTGACATCAAACACGCAGTCAAGTTCGGACATTCACAAAGAATATAAATTCGTGAAGCATCATCCTCTTTAAGATAGTGGCGTTATTTCGCCAAATCAGACAGCTCCAATTCTATTTTGATGATAGCGAATTATGCTCTTTGTTAAGAAATTCTTCCATCTGCACAAAGTAAATTTCAATGTCTAAAAATGTTATCTTCTTTCAGGTAAAGACGACATTTTTCTATATGAGACATACTCATCTTATTGAGATAAATTATTATATATTTGGTTTGTGTTAAGAGTTTCCTAATATTATATCAGAAGAGAGGAAAGGAGAAGAAAAATTGGATAGTTACAAGTAATATAAAGTTTTTACTTTTTATTTGTAGATATGATTATCTATTACCTTCAAAATATCTATCTTATTCAGCTCGTAACGTAGTAGTGCACTATAGGTGTCATATTTCAAGGAATTGCTGAATTCCTCATACGGATGAAGACAGAAGTTGTCGACTTAGCATTTTTCTCTTAATCTTCAATATCGGAGAGTCACATAAAACTGAAGTCTAAAAGTCTCAATTCCTTGTAGGTAGCAGTAATATTTTGTCACAATCATCTAAGGTAATGTAGTAGTGCATTATATTTTTTCTTAATTAAAGAAAAGAATAGAAGCTCCAGATTCAGAATAACTTTCTGCTATAGAATAAATTTGAATAGTCACTGGAAGGTGGCATCGAGAAGTCTCCTTTTAGGCAAGGTTAAGCTAAAGATTAAACTACCACATTAAAATTTTAAAAACGATCAACGAATGTGAACAGGACATTCTGATAGTTAGCTGGCTTACATCGATGGCAAGTCCCATTCTATACTTCTACTGGAGTTATACTACTTATCAACAAAACGAATAAAGTAGGTTTCCTCATCAACTAGGGATCTATCCCTACAATAATAACAACAACAGAACATTCAAATTTATGTTATCGTTTCATTTGATTTTTAAATATTAAAATTATTTGATCTAATATTACGTTAGATTATACTGGCGATCCTAAGGGATCTACTTAGGTCTATAGGCCCATTCTGCTACCGTATTATTAAAAACTCAAGGGTTAGAACTATCTAGAATCTTATGATGCCATTTTAAGGGAGGTCCTGAAGTTCGTCAAGATCTCAAAAAAGAAGCCATTAAAATGTAAGGTGGCGCCGTGCATATGCCGGACAGAAGAAAAGCAGGTGGGAGGCGCTTCATCATCCTCACCACAACTGCGGCAGATTTGGTTGAAACGGAGATTTAGTCTCCTAGCATGGTTACCTAAAATACAATGCCCTGTAAGTAAACCTACTACAAGACTGATATCTCTACGGGGCATCTCTATGAGAGAGTTCGATTTTCTTCTATTTGAAAGGGAAAAGGGAATTTTGCTTCTATTAAAAAATTCATAATTTAAGACCAGCAAGTCTCATTGAATTATTTTTGTGATATATTTAAACGGTGTAACATTTTTTTTTATGATAGTTAGCTTTATGTGCGAAACTCTAAGTCATTTGATTTTTTCGCTTCCGTATCTAAAAAATATCTGCTCCATGTTCAGGTGTATAATTTAAATAGGAAATATCTTATGTACGTTTTGACCAAGAGCTATATAAACAAATACATTTTAATTTACATAGTTTTATTTTTTATTGTATTGATTAAATTAATTAATTAATAATTGCATTGTTATTAATAATTCTAATATTAAAATAAGAACTAAGTGACTCCATTAATTATAAGCTTCAAGATCATCTATATACTTTATCCTTTTAAAGTCGCTGCTACATTTGCTGCCTGTTGAGCCACTCCTATGGTTTGGATTGTGGCGTCTCTTGTGTGTTGACCGACTCGTTCCTGTAAATAATTTAATATTTATTTTAGTTGATATTATTCAGCTATATTGTTTATAAGTAATTAATTGAATATTAATTTATTTTAAATTTTTTACTGCTATTAATTTTATTAATTTTTTTACTTACAATTTTTTTGCCGATTTTTTTAAGCCAACCGGCTTCAGCTCCCATACTGAAAGCGAAAACAACGAAGGCAACGAATAAAAATATTTTTTGAAAATTCATTGTTGATATAAAAATTATTTAATAATTTGTTTATAAGCTGATGAAGTACTATTTTAGACTGATAATATTCTTGAACTCTTTGCTGCTTATATATGAACAGTTTCTACACTTAAAGTGATAAGGAAAATCATCAGAGTTAAAGGGGATTTTTGTTTCGATGCATTCGCAATAAAAGATTATGGCTTTCAAAAGCTTCCCAGAATGAGGGCTTAAAAAAATCCCATGAAATATAAGAAACGTCATTAAGTTACTCTATAAGAGGAGTGTTGTTGCTGATGATGGATGTCTCATATTCTATTATGTAGGTAGTGAATTTGTTATCTTAAGAAAACCAACAAGGGGAAATATATATTACTTTATGGTTTGTAAATTATTATAAATCATAGTTGATAAGTTTATGGACATCAGTAGGCAACAACGTGACCATTACAGCTGTAATTAAGTTACTTAAAGTGGCAAGTGAAATAATATCTATCTTAATATCGAAAAAAAATTATTATTGTTTTTTAAATTTATAATTTTGAGTGCGTAAAATATACTGATAAAAATATCGTAAATAATAAAAGATAAATAAATTTTAAAATAAATTTTTTAACAAGTTATAATAATTCATATAGAAAAATACACGTGTTCAGTGACATATTTAGTTGGTGGCTATTTAACAATGTTTATAGTGGGTTTTTTAAATTTTTTTTAAAATCTATACGATAAAAGGACTTCTTAGAAAAATTATAAAAATGTTGTAGTTTATAAAAATTTTTATAAATTTTCATTTGTGAAATTATTATCTTCTGTTCAGAGTGAATTCTTAATAAAGATAGGAAACTGTAACATTTGTATGAAACAAAAGGTGGAGTACTATTTTGGTAGGTTATATGAATGGCGGATTTTGGATGCGGTCTTACATAAAATGAGAACTACATTAATCACAATAATTGTGCATTGAGGACAAATAAGTATAAACTTATTGTATATCTATATATATATATATATATATATATATATATATAAATGTATGTATATATGTTTAATAAATGAACCAAATATTAAGTTCATTATAACTAGACTTAGAAAGTTCGAAATTTACATTGCAAATTATGACTTCATATCTGTTAATACCATATATACTATAATAATATTTAAAAGGTATTTTTTAAAGTTTAAAGTTTTCCAATATTAAGGCAAAATACATTTTTTTATTATAATAAAAACATATAATCATAATATATCATAGTGATTATTCATATCACTATATAGCAATTATTTAAGAAAAGTAAAAATTTTTAAAAAAGTAATTAAATTTGATGAATATTTTTAAAAGTGTTTAAAAGATATATAGTAATTATATATGTGATTAAATACCTCTTAAAATATTTGAATTGTTAGTGATTTTGTATTAATTTAATTTTTTTAATTTTTTATGAAGAAGACTTTTTGAAGATGTCTAATAAATATTTAAATATGTTTTGTTAACAGTACTTATAAATATAATTATTGCTATCAATAAATAATGTATTGTTATAGGTTAATAAAGCTGTACAAATAAAATAAATAAAATTTAAACTAACAAAGTATAATGACAAAAAAAAAAAATTACCAGATATATATTAAAAAAAAATTATTATTGCAAGTATTCATTGATATTATATTTTACATTAGCGAATTTCTTTACATTAATGTATATAATAAACGTTGTAATATAATTTTACCCGCTATAACATTTTGTTGATTAGGTACTTTTTAATCCGAAAAACCCATAGCTATATAATGTGGGACCTGTGGTTTCAAACTGTCGTTAACATACTTAAAAAATTGATTATAATATTATAAAAATGTATTTTATTTAAATAATTGTTTTTTTTTTAATAAATTTTCAACTTTTAAATATCACACATTAATATTTTTATATTTGAAATTCCGTAACCAATTCGCAAAATGATAGACCCAAAGATTTGTATACCATAGTAATAAATAAAGATAAACAATGAAGTCATCATTATGTAGTTATTGTTAAACACTTAATGTAATCTTAGATATGATGTTATCATATCGAAAATCTTATCTTGAGTGTCTGGTCATACAAATCTTGCGACCAAGTAATACTCTTATGCAAATGCACTACTAAAAGTTTGCGTAAATTTGATAAATTTTTCATTATCAAAACCTTTTCTAACCAGACAATTGGATCGTATTGAATTAGTTTTTTTACCTTCTTAAATCCCTTACAATAAAAAATGAAATCGTTTTTTTTTATATATCTAATCATTACTATCATTAATCTGTTAGGGATTTAATACTTTGACACTAGATATCTATTGTGCCTCATTGACTTAGAGTGTCTCTCTGGATCTGATTTCGTTTATAAATTATAGTATAGAGTAAAAGATATCCATTTAGAAATTTTTTACCTTTATGCATCAGTGCTAGACAGACTTACAGCACGTAGTACGAGGTCTCCTCCTCTTCTCATTATTGATAGAACAAGTTCCAAATTTTTTGTGTTCTGTAGTATTTTCCTACTAATTGAGATTTCTGTCATTATTGTCTTTATTACGATTTGGTTATTCAAAGATTGACTATCTTTATAAATAACAGTGGAAACCAAATGTTTTATCTGAAGTGGGTAAACTTAGGTACTTTCTATATATTTTCCATTTCTTAGAGCTGGCCATAGCTTCGTTGGAAAAATAGTAGTTAGATCTAAGGTTTTATCATATCACTCAATAAGTCTCCAATCTGAACACATAAAAAAAATTATCAATTCCATATAAAATTTAAATTCGTCTTAAAGGTTAAAATTATTCTATCAATCATTGACAAAAACAAAAATTTTATATCTTTGAATTAAGAACAATTACATTTGTTTTATTTATGCTCAAAAATATAGTATATTATTTTATTTCCATTAAATTCATTATTTTACTACAATGTGCTTCTATATATAATAATAATAATATTTTAAGTTAAACACATCCACTTGATTATTAATTTAAAACAATATTTTATCCTTCATTTTGTCACAGTTGCCACCACATTTGCTGCCTGTTGAGCTACTGCAATCGTCTGGATTGTGGCATCTCTGGTATTTTGGCCGACACGTTCCTGTAAAGCAATACAGTAATGTTCAGAGTTAAATATCATATTTTATAAATAAATAAATATTTTAAATATATTAAATAAATATTCTAATTATAATTATTATTATAATTGCTAATTATAATTATAATATATTAATTATATTTGCAAGATCTTTTTATATATTCAGAAATTTTCCATTTACAATTCTCTTGCCAATTTTCTTAAGAAATCCCATTGTTTAAATGCAATTTAATTAATAATTTGTTTATATGGTAAGAAAGCGTAATTAATACTGATAATAATTCTGAAAATCTTGCAGTTTATATATGCACTGCTTCATAAACTTAAAGTGATAAGATATTTCGCAAGAGCAAAAGGGAATTTTTTTTTAAGTTACTAGAGTGGATTTCTTTGGAAATAAAATTTTATATATCCAATAAAAGTAACACCGATTTGTAAAGTACCCATTGATATTAACAGCGATAAAAAAATTAAAGAAACAATACTTGAGAAAATGCGTAGTTTGAATAGATATATGTAGATGAAGCTATAAATATACTTAAATCAATCACCTATATATAATCATTAAATTATAGAAGCAGTAAAATAAGTATATACTATATACTATATATATAATATATAGTACACAACAATGTTATTAATATATTTTATACTTATTCTGTCCTCACATCTTTTCCAGATGTATTGAAAGAACCCATCCAAATAAACCGCCAGTTTCAGTAATTATAACGAAATAGTACGCCAATCTGTTGTTTCGTATGGTAAGTTCCGCATTTTTATTAAGAATTACTCTCTGAACACAGACAATATACTCTTTATAAATAAAAATTCACAAAAATTTTTTAATAAATTTTTTAAGGAGGTCCTTCATGGCATAGATTATAGATTATATATATAATCATTAAATTATGGAAACAGGAGATAACTATATACTATATATATAACATATAGTAAACAGCAATGTTATCTAAATATATATATATATATACGCTATATATATACATATATATATTATATATATATATATCATATATATAGTATATATTATATATATATATATATATATATATATATATATATCATATATAATAATACTATACTATACTATTATATATATAATATTATATTATATATATATATATTAAATATTATTATATATTAAATATTATATATTATTTAAAATAAAATATTAATTTTGAAATAAATATTCAATAATGTTGTTGATAATGATTTATAAAAATTACAATTTATAATATATATACAGATTTTAAGGGTAATTTTTCTGATATTAAGAGAAAAGCAATAAAGATATTACCTGAACCACCATAGACTGGAATACGCAGGGAACCCTACGAAAAAAATAGTCGGCTCGTACATAGCACAGGCAACTTGGTCTCAAAGCTGCGAGGACTAAAAAAACCTGAAGAGAAGTAAAGACGGTTGCATTCAATAGAACGAAATGGAAAAATCTGATTGTGACCCTTAGCTCCTCATACAATCTGTGGGAACTAATATAATAAAGAGATTGTATAACTATTATTAATTAAAAGTAATGGAATGACCATGTATAAAATAACTTATTTTTTTATATAAGATCTTAATAAACTTGAGATACCAAAATAAATGAAATCGTAGAGGATCTGACTGATAACAGAAACATCGGAATTATCGTGGTTAATTGAGGAGATAATATTTATACACCAATTGAAATACAGATTTATTTTGATAATGAAATTAAAGAGTAAGCAAATATTAATTGAAAAATCGATTCGAAATCGAAAATCTAACAAAATCCTTAGGCTGGATCATATTACTCTAGAACTGCTGAAGGCATATAAACAACTAAATCTAGTATCCATTCATTTGTCGGTCATTCTACATTTCTATTTTATCAGAAGGATGCGGTATTAACTGGTAATAGAGAGCTTCTGATGACTGTAAGACATGTGCAATCCGCTGCCTATTTTCATCACATATTTTTATAGAATCTACTATTTCTTAGGCCTATAAACAAAGATCTGGGTTACAAAATGCAAAAATTAAAACTCAAGAGATTATAAAAGATTTAATTAAAGTAGTTTTTGAAGCCTACATTTCTATTTTATCATGATCATTAAACAGAATATTTAACGAAGTATGAAAAATTAAATAGGTATTTATCTATATAATATTAATACATTGATTAGGGACAAAGAGTATTTTTTTATATTTTCATTACAAGTAAGGTTAGGTTAAATTAGTCAGGATGGGCGTTTTATAGATATGTAGACACATATAGACCTATTTGTCCGTATTGACACTAGTTGAAGCGAATACCACTATCTTGATTTGTGTTTTGTTTTATGTAAGACGACGACCTATTTGTCCCTATTGACATCAGCTAAAGCGAATACCACTATCTTGATTTGTATTGGGCTTTATGTAAGACGAAGACCTATTTGTACCTATTGACATCAGCTAAAGCGAATACCACTATCTTGATTTGTATTGGGCTTTATGTAAGGCGACGACTCTTTTTGCGAATCTGTGGAATACTTCAACTGTGGAACTTCCAAGCATTTCAAGAGTGTGTGTCACAACGTAGATCATAAACATAAGCACATTATATGTGCATATAAATTATGATTAAAATAAATGTGGACTCCAAAATATGTCCGACTCAAGCATATCATTTACAGTTTTAATTTACGATCTCAGGTAACAAAAATGGAAATGAGAATAATTTGTTACTGTCACCAATCACAGTTGGTGGCACATTAGAAGTGGCATTTTAAATTCCAAATGAAATGTGCAATTTTATGATGATTATTCGAAGCGATGCGTTTAACTGTGTTTTGGAAACGAATAATTATTCCAGAAATGCAGTGTAACATTAAAGCTTACACACATACCAACTCTTCCACTGACTAGAAGTATCTAATTTGTATCTCAATAAATTGTCATTTCATTTTGTTTGCAACGGTTTGCCTTAGCATTGCCGCTAGTATTCAATTTAAAATAATCAACGCATGCTATGTGTATGTATGTATGCGCATATATGTAGGTATGTAAATATGTGTTGCAGGAAATCCATCTGAAATGCAGAATTTAAATTCAAGAATTTTTAGAAATTACGTATATATGCAAAATGCAGTGAAATAAGACTTCAGTGCAGATAAATGACGCCAGTAACGTTTTGACAGTTGCACCATGGAGTTTTAGAATTTATGCTTGACTTTTCTTCAGAGATTTTCTTCTGTAATTCTACCATTTTCTACAATTTCTGGAGCGTGCGGTGATTTTTAAAATCATTACGTGAGGAAAATTTGCTTTATCGCTCAAATGATTTGATAAATTTCAGTTAATTACTTGATAACAAATTAAGTAAAACAAACATATAATTTCATTTACTTCGAATTTGTAGAAACTGTTTATGGGTTGTTAATATAATTGTTTGCAATTATTATATTATTTCAAATGAAATTTAAATGACACATAAAGCATACATTGAAAATACTAAATATTGCGATACTAGATCAGACTCTAAATTTTTTTTAGCTATAGTGTGTATCGCTTAGGATGCGCGTGTTATTAGCGAATTTTTTTAGTATTTCAACAGAAACCTCAGGTATGGACTTCAGTTCGGTAAAACTGACAACACCCAAGTATTTTTGCCGAGTTCTATAGAGAGCCGGGCAGTTATACAGCAGATGCTCCAGATACTTCCTAGATATCAGATTCTTTTCAAGAGTAGAAGGACCGTAGGCAAAAATATGTAGACGTAATATAAGTGAATGATTTAAAAATAAATAAATATTTGATAAATTGCGAAAAATGATTCGAAATGGAAATAAATGAAAATCTTTTGTGAATGGACTTACATACTTACTAATTTAAATAACCCCAATAATCTGGTGTCGAATATTGGTATAAGGCAGATAATATTTTCTACGTATCTCTAATTCATAAGCAACGTTTCCAGTCTCATATAACAACTTTAGTTTGTGTTGTCTCAAGTTAATTGTTCCGTAGAACTTGACGTTTTCTCCTTTATCTTTTTTTTTTCTTAATATAATTTAAAAAACTTTTAATACTAGAGCACTGTCTTCTCGTCGCATCGATATAACTTTGCCAGTGAAAGTGATTGTTGTGAAGGTCTTGAAAAACCTGATATGGTCGTGTTTTATTTATTTTTTCAGGAGACCAAAAATCTCCAGAAGTAAGAAGAAGATAAGGAAAATTTTCTCGTAACCAATCTTAGTGTTCTTTTCTTATTCTATGATATAGTTCATTCCTCTACATCGTGTAGAAGTTCACAAAGGGTAATTAACCTATGTATGTATTTTATTTATTTTCTTAAGGTACCTAATTTTTCTTAAGAAGAAATTTTCTCTCAAACAATCTTTGTTTTCTTTCTTATTCTAGGATATTGTTCATCCCTCTTCATCGTTTAAAAGTGCACGAAGTGTTTATTTTTTCAAGAGAACGAAAATTTCTTAAGAAGAAAGAAGAAATTAAGAAGAAGAAACTTAAACTTAAGAAGAAATTTTCTCACAAACAATCTTAGTGTTCGTTTATTTTTCTATGATAACATCCATCCCTCTACATCGTGTGGAAGTGCACAAAGGGTGAATAATCTATGATCTGAAGTGGTCTGAGGAGAGTACTATATTACGGGCTGTAGTAATTCCTCGAATGATGTTGTCATTAATGGCGTTGCCAAGGTGGTGGAACCTTAGTGTTCGTTTTTTATTGTATGATATCATCCATCCTTCTACATCGTGTAGAAATGCACGAAGTGTGAATAACCTATAGTATGTTAGTGCTCTGAGGAGAGTACTATATTACGTACAGTAGTAATTCCTCAAATGATGTTGTTATGTTGGATGACATCCATGTTGTCATTAATGATTGAAAAGATTAAAAAGTATAATCGCCAGTAACTTTATGACCGTACCTTTCTATATGTTATAAGATCTAATAAAAATATTGTTTTTATTTTACATATTATATCATATATCTTATTATATCACATATCATATCAGCACATCAGACTTTATCAAAGTATAAATAATACTAAATTTAACCAGAAATACTGCAGGAGTTAATGGATTATTCACAACTTAGTTTTAAATATTGCTAATTAATTATCAATATAAATTTTATAATCATATACACCTAATAAATTTGAAACTTATTAAGTGTATATGTCACAGTGTATATATTTAATATCTCCGCATTTTCTAAAAGATTTTTATCGTATTTTATTTTTTTTAAATTAAAATATTAAATAACATAACAATGACT